TAGGAAATCAAATCGTAAAACCAACAGATTGATATTTCACTAGTTATGATTCAATGTGAGCATAAAATGCGTTTCAATATCTATGAAATATACTCATAAAATCTACCTTTTGCTTACTGTTTATTGTAAAATAATAAACAGGGATGTCATATACCACATATATCTGTAAGTTTCACTAGTCACCTACACACTAGACTATAATTTCATTTTTTCTAGCCGAACTCATCAGCCGCTGAACGAGGCGAATTGAATCAGCATGTGTAGTTGCTTTCTGACTACTGATATTATTAAGTAGTATATTAGAACAGGCCATGACAATTATTTGTTACAACTTGTGATCTAGTTAGGAAGGTAATCAACTTGCAACCAGCTGGAATCATAATCATATCGCTGCAAAATCACTCAGCTGCGAAGTGCTCTATTATGGACAGTACATGATCTGAATGATTGACGAACTTGTTTGCATCATTGAACCCATAAGTAAGGGAAAAAATACCATCGAGGTTGATAGTTTTACAGCATAAGCACCTTATTCTTCAGAAATGAAAAGCGCCCCAAGAGACAAAGTCTTCAACATACACGATACAGGTTAGGGTGAGACCATACAATTGATTTCACCGGATAAGCAAAGAGAAGTGTATAAGAGTTAGGAAATTAGACCATTTAGCTCTTAGTATTCACAAAGAAGTATCTCCTTCGTCTTTGAAACCATTAAAACACATGAACTTACAAAGTTAATCTTAGTGACTGAACACATCAAAGTGTAAGATGCCAGTCTATAACAGACATGTTTTTAAGTAGTTTTTTACAACTTAGTTCAAGTTTTGTGGAGATTTAGGTATTTCAAGGTAGTATTCATTACCGAATGACACCGGTCGGAGAAACACTGAAAATTGGGGAGTACAGAAGAGCTGCTTCTTCCTGGCATGAGATGCCTCAGTAGTTATGTTCTGTCCTGTTATACAGATGTGAGACATGGCAGTTGAAAGTGGAAGATATGTAGGGATTATAGGATTTTCATCATTGGTGTCTTCGTAGCATTGTTCACGTGTGATGGAATCACCGTGTGAGCAGTGTTCAAGTACGGTGAAGGATACTTAGGAAGATAGGTAAGTCGAACGATCAGGTTGTGAACGTTATTCAACTGAGGTGGCTTGAACATGTACTGCATATGCCAAGTCAACCCCAACCTCAGTGTCCTATGCTAGGGGAGGTTGGATTAGGTTATAAGAAGGTTCAGAGTGGACAGACCAAGTAGTGGCACCGGTGGATGAAGTCTCTGAATTTTCTTTTGAGGTGTGTAGGGAGATGTATACAGTCTGGTTGGCGTCCGCAAGACGATACGATTCGGTGGTTGAGGACTCCTGGTGAGATGGCTAACAATAGATTACCAAAGCGCAGATGTATTCACTCCTCAACATCTTCAGATATTCCCTCACACAACTTTTTGTACTTCGATATGACTCTTTTTCTATCCACTTTTTCTTTGTGTACTACTGTGAAGTGTGGCAAAATAAGCCAACGAACTTGTGTGCGAGGTTCCGTGTTGATTGTATTTGTCTTTCTATCCTCAGCAGGATGCACCCAAGTGATAAATACTAAAAAAGTTGATTCCCAACATATTTTTAGGTTATTACCCTTATTTTGAATAGTTATCAAGGCAAACTTTCGATAAGTGAAATTTCATGGAGGCACAGTTAACAACCTTGCTTCAGTGCTCTTCGACAACTTTTCTACAACCTATCGCAACTGAAATCGTGATCAACTTACTGAACTATGAACCATGAATGATGACATGGTTGCACTGTTGTATAGCCAACTTGTATCCTTCGCGGTTCCAGTTATTATAAGGTATAGACCACTGCATAGTGATGAGATGTTGCTTCAAGTGTATAAATAATGGACAGCATATCTTTCATTAAAAAGTTATTTCTAAATCAACTGATGCTCTACACCAATGTTGCTCAGATTTTCACTGCATGTTACTCTACCATCTTATTCTGTGTTTTCTCATTCACCATTGATTTGGAGCCTTTTGTAGAATCAATGGTAGAACTATTTACCTTCATGCTGTTTTCGACTTCGAAATGCAAAGATGATGTGTTTCGCAAGTGGATTGCTAATATGATCTTTGAATGAACGAGTTTAGCGTGTTTTAGAAGCTGACCGATTGAAGTTGGTAACTACACTTAACCCTTGTCAGGATTCAGTATCATTATAATACACTTGGAGATATCCACATCAACAATGTTCAGATGTGAAACTCGACTGATATCTAGAATTTCGGTATGCTTAGCTACACATTGAGTTTACAATCAACATGATTTCCATGTGAAGAAATTCTGAAGTTATAAACTTGGAGACATTGTGGACTACTTGTCTGGCAATTAATGGAATTATTTTGTGTATAAAGTCGAATTCTCCCTGACGGCATTAGATGATGCTCATGAGGTATCATGAATTGACAGAAACAGTATTACTAGTCAGTAGTTACCGTAGTCGCTATGAGACCTGGTAGTCATGAGCTCGATCTCTAGTGTGCAGACGAATGTACGCTGTTGATGAGTTCCATCTAGGACGAAATAGCTCACTTATACTTCTAGGTCTGCGGAAAATTTTCAATCAAAATCAAGCAATTCTTACAAACTGCCAACTAAGTTATTCAAACGTCATTCAAGCTTAACTTTATTGGCTTGGAATCCAGATTGAAGACGTAAATCATCAAAGGTCAGTTTGAAACACCAATAATGAGGTACTCGTCATTCATGTGACATTCTACAAGAAAGACATTCTTTGAATGGGAAGAAAAGTGATATATATATATATATATATATATATATATATATATATTACTGCAGCTGGTATGACATCTGATCCGTAACCCAAAAACTGATCATCCCAAAGTAGTTGAGACTTATGCACTTCCTAAACCTCAGTGACTAGGGGTGAAGGATCGATGTGTGGCTTTGAATGTCAGTAAACCAATAAGATATAAATTGCACAAAAGTATTATGAAACAACTAAGTACAAATTATGAGTTTTGGATTATGGAACTTTTGTAAATTTCTAGGCATTGTGGAAGTTGCCAAGTTGTTGTCTACTTGATAATGTGTTCAAAGTTGATGTAAACGTGACCAGAATACGTACATAAACTCGTTTTTATTATCACATGGAGTAGAAGGCAATAAATAGACCATCTTTTTGTTCTTTCGTCGGGAATTTGACTTCAATTGTCTTTTGGATATTATTTAAGTAAGCAGTAACGAAATGCGTAGTTCACATCATTGTCAAATTTTGTAATCACCGTGAAAATTACATGACACTTACAGATAAATCAACTCTGCATTGAATCTCTTTTTGTCTTATGGAGTGCAGAAACTTGTCACAGGTGGTTGGGCGATTTAATTATTATTATTTGTCCCTTGGGTTCCTAATGAAACACAAAACGTAACTAAAAAGCCTCCATTCCACTATCTTCTCTCCAATCTTCTGAACATCGCTCCACCACTACACACAACCTCTCATTTCTTCATCACACAATCTCCTCCATGTCACACTCACCACGGACGTCCAACTCATCTTTTCCCATCTCGGTTCCACTCGACGGTCTGGCCTCGCCTGGCCTGGCCTGAAGCGTGATATCCCCAAGTGGTTTTCTCAGTGTACGCCCAATCCACCTCCACCTCCTTCAAGTGCATATCTATCTGTTCAGCAATAGGTTCATGCTTCGTTGGTTCGTTACCAGCCTGCCAGCCAGCCAGCCAGCCACAGTGACTTCCTTGTTACTCATTCTTATTTTCATCATTCTGGCCATCTGATCTTCAGTCTCAGTATCGAGTGAGAGTAGGCGGCAGTTGTTGATGAATATCTGCAGTTTATTGGAAATGCCTTTCGTGATGTGCAAAGTCTGTGAAGCATCACAGAGAATCACTGACTTGACTGGCATTAGTGTAGAGAATCTGGATATTGTTCACGCTTTATGCTGAGTGTATTGGAGTGCAGATGATCTTCACACTGGTTTCAGATTAATCAACGCTGTCCTGTCCTACTATCTTTCGGATGCTGGTTGGCTTTGATGTCGTCGTGTGTGTGTGTGCCACGTGTAGTTGAAGTCGTGTTGCCTATGTGGGTGGGTGGTTGGTGGTTGGTGGGTAAATGAAGCATACTTCCTTTACGTTTTTTCCCGTTGACGGTGATTGTAGTTTGTTGTTGTTGGTGGTGGTCGTGGTGGTGTTGGTTTGGTATCTGGTTTGGTGAATACCATAAAGAAATTAACTATTTATCAGGATAGTTACTGTAAGGAAGGGTTCACTCGGTTGTTCTATACTATGAAAGAATATTTTATTCATTACACTAACTGATTAGACCATATAGAAAGAAACAAGTACTGAAGTTTAGTGAAAGAAAGAGTAACAGTTAGATCAAACTGATCGCGAACAAATATCGACTGAGGCTGTCTCAAATTCTCTAAGTTCTTAGATGTCCCTATTTAATAACTACAAGTTTCAGAGTCTTCTCCATGCTGTAACCTAATTTCTTCAGGCAGTGTCAAACAAGAAGGCCACCAGCCACACACACACCCGCTGGTCATGAAGAATCCCATAACTGAGATATAATACAATTATTAAATATGACAAAATGGACTATGTTCCCTCCATGACATTTTACAATATATGACCATAACAAATTTATAGACAAATGAACCTTTTCAAAATCAATCAGTATTCATTGAAAGAGTGGAGCTTGAAAAATAAACCTCTGGATTTCCTTCATATTTAACCCTGAAGGTTATTGATTTAAACTACTAACATTGAAGAGACTTACGCCTAAAAATCCGTTGCAATCGATGTTCTCTATGATCTACATGAGATGAATGAACATACTGTCTACAAAATATCTGAAGCGTATGCAGAACATATGTAATAGTTACCAAAGTATCAACAATAAGCATTTATTTTTTTGAAAAAAATAACCAATTATCAATGTACAGCAGAACTTACGTCCAGTTGGTTTTGAGTTTAAATATCCTGAAAGACGTTGCCAACTTGACATATTTGCTGGAAGTACTTGTAAACGGCGACTCTATATCCTCTCCTATATGTATAGCTCCTGAGTATGTTTATAACTATTATTCTTTTTCTCAAATTGTTTGAGTAATATTCCTTTTAAGTTGAGAGAAAAAAAATTCCACCTTCAACTCAAATTTTTATCTTAAAATGATATGGTTCACGTTGAATATTAACTTTTTCTCAGCCAGTTTACAGTTTATCTTTCACCCCACAAGATCTACAGGAATTTACTTTACGTTTATACAAACGTTTAGAAGAGTTGTCGTCAGCTAGTTATGTCACAGCACAAGTGACGCTAACGTGTAGTCATAGGACAAAGAAGAAATTGTAAAATTAGTGAAATTATAATTTGCTGTCAGATAAGCTAGAAACTAAGGTATACATCACATGACCTTAGAAATGGAAAGGTCGATAATACGTATAAATCAGTGTATGACTTGTGCTCAAGTAGACAAATGTGTTAGTGTTTGAAGTCAGTCAGCCAATAGGATCACTGACGTTGATAAAAACACACATAGAATATACATATAGTTATGCAGATATACGTGTTTAACACACATGTTTGCATGCTTGTATAGTCGCACCCATACATACAACATATCAGTGTGCATGAACTATGCATATAAACATGATCTCCAACTGCTCTCTCTGTTTCGGTGAGTAGGTTGTCTTTATCATTAGCAAAGACAGGTAATGAAAGGAGTTAGGTCTCGGAACAAAGTCATTGGACTTCAGCTCCTTGATTTCGAGATGATAACTCAGTAAATAACGTCTAGAAGTTAGGTGAAGGAAGGTGAGGACAGAATACAATATGGTTACAAGATGTAATTCAATGAAAAAATCCTTCCATTTTAAGTGATGCATAGTAGAGTATGACCATCTTGAGATTTTCTGGAAGCAGTCAATGTAGAAAACCTTCTCTAATTATACAAATTAGAAGGTTGCGGTGGTACAGTGTCTGAATTCAACACCACCACTTTCTTCATGTATGCAAACACGCCTTGCTGAACAGTGACAAGAAACAAGAAATCTATATCAGCGGTTTCCTGCCGACTGATTTACAACATCTAGAACCAGAAATAAGAAGTTCGCTTTTAAAGAAGAACCTTTTGTTCGGTGACTGAAGGAAACTTTAAGAAAATACGGGTATTATTGTAAGATTTCGTAGGCTTTTCGATGAACGAGTTCACTTGTTCTGCTATCAAAATACCCCCGGTTAAAAAGGCAACACCAACCAGAAAACAGCTAACTAAAGCCTATATCCTTTTCCGGTCCATAAAATATAAATAAGTACGAATTTTTCGTTCTGTCAGTAAATCACTATGTGTTTGCCCTAACATCCGACGGGAGTGAACCCACAGCTAGCTCGCCACCTCAAGAGATCCATCTCGAAGCAAGTTACTGGCAGGCACCGCTGATTTCCAGTGGACGGGAAACCTACCAATTCTAAGTATTGATGTATGCTACAAAGTCTCAGATCGATATTCAATACTTCCGAAATATGTATTTAAGAGTTTGTATCATTTAATGTCAGAAGATAGAGAAAAAGGATGAAAATAGGATGCTTTAAGGTAAATAAATTAAAATAATACTAGATTTCCGGTGTAGAAAACACATTACAAAAACAAGCCATAGAATTTAGCCTAAAACATCCTTTAGATTATTCTAAAGCAGTCGTCAAGGCCGTGTACTTAGGTTCATGGGAGCGTTAGCTGTTTGAAAGTTTAAACCTATCAAGTACTAAACATCTGAAGTGCGTACATATCGAACAGACTGGTCTGTGATATGTCGCCAGCCAGATCAGAGTGATTGAAACATTGAATGACTGTTTCGTTCATTTAGAGTCAAGCTCATCAGCAGTGTGTCCGAACAAATCCAGCTCATAGAACAGAATTATATCAGATCACTTGAATCTGTTTCCCTGGACCAGTATGCGAAAATGAAACCAATAATTTGCAAATGATTTACCCTTAGTGCTTTCAGAAACCTTCCTTTATAATTTTTAATGCCAAGAGAGATGTGAAAATGTATTATTCCTCTTTATTATCTCTATATTTTACGAATCTTATATAATTTTAACTTATTCATCTTATTTTCACCTTTCATATAAAACCCCTTGATAAGTAATTGTGTGATCAGATTGCCCTAGTGCGTAGTCTTAGTATTTTAAGCGATGGGTATTGGGCTCGAGTTCATTTGGTGAGAAAAACATCTCTCAATAAAGTCCAGGTACATCTGTCTGACGATTCCCAGATAGAACAAAACACGCCTCGCGGATTACACTGCTATATTTCTCACATAACATCTGTCTTTCTACTAAAATATACGAATTTACCAAAGGGACAGATTAAATTTCATAGTCTTTATCCTAGGAAGAAATGTATCTACAGTGACATCATTGAAAAGAATGAATTACTTACCTTGCAATATTTTATCATGCACCTTAGTTACTGTAGTCAGTGGGTACAAATAAAGTTTGAGATACAAGTTTAACTTAAAAAAATAATTCGCTTTCATAAGTTCATTTCCGCAAGAAGTGGGAAATATGAACCATTGGATTATGACCCAGTGGCTCAATGGTAACGTGCTGGTCACGGAACCTGAAGGTAGCTGGTTCGATCCTTAGAAGGCGGGGTCGTGAGTGCCCACTGCTGAGGACGAAACAGCTGTTCAGTGTTCCCAGGTTTCCTTTGTTCCTCCCACTAATGTCAGTCTACGATGAATAACAACTTGAAATATTTCAAATGTATTAAATAAATGAAGTTATCTCGGACAGGTACTAAGCCAACCTTGTCAATGTACATCTACTTAGATTAGCAATGACAACAACAACAAACTACAATCACCGTCAACGGCAGAAACTTAAAGGAAGTAGCCTCTTTCACCCACCACCCACCAATCACCCACCCACCCACATAGGCAACACTGTTCCAACTACACGCGGCACACGCACACACGACGACGTCAAAGCCAACCACCATCCGAAACATAGCAGGACAGACCAGCGTTGATTAACCTGAAACCAGTGTCGAGATCTTCTGCACTCCACTCCACTCAGCATAAAGCGTGAACAATATCCGGATTCTCTACACCAATGCCAGTCAAATCAGTGATTCTGTGTGATGCTTCACAGACTTTGCACATCATGAAAGGCATTTCCAATGAACTACAGATATTCATCAACAACTGCCGCCTACACTCACTCGATACTGATACTGAAGATCAGATGGCCAGAATGATGAAAATAAGAATGAGTAACAAGGAAGTCACTGTGGCTGCCTGGCTGGCTGACTGGCTGTCTGACTGACTGACTGACTGACTGACTGACTGACTGACTGACTGACTGACTAACTGACTGACTGACTGACTGGCTGGCTGGCTGGTAACGAACCAACGAAGCATGAACCTATTGCTGAACAAGTATGCACTTGGGGGAAGTGGAGATGTATTGGGCATACACTGAGAAAACCATTTGGGGATATCACGCTTCAGGCCAGGCCAGGCGAGGCCAGACCGTCGAGTGGAACCGAGATGGGAAACGATGAGTTGGGCATCCGTGGTGAGTGTGACATGGAGGAGATTGTGTGATGAAGAAATGAGAGGTTGTGTGTAGTGGTGGAGCGATGCTCAGAAGATTGGAGAGAAGATAGTGGAATGGAGGCTTTTTAGTTACACCTTATGTTCCACTAGGAATCGAAGGGAGAAATAGTGGAAATCATTATTATGTAATGTAAACTTTCACCTAGTTTTCCAAGATGAAGTTTTCCTAATATTTTCATGATAGACACTGTAGTACTGTTCTCTTAATATACGAGCAACTGTGGTTCTCTTAATGTAATCGAATGTCTCTTCAGTAGTGCACATTTCGCTGTGATAGATATACTCTATAGATTATTAGTTGAATATCTAGCATACTGCGTTGTTCTACTTTTTAGTGAAAGCTGTGCACTTATCTATGTGTTGGTTGCTGATTGAGCGAAGATACAAAACAGTGAACCTGTTCATGACTGTCACTGGTAAGTAGCTTGCAACCGTGAACCAACACGTCATCGGTAGCTTTCGTCCACCTCATGGATTTCAAAGTGAAGAATTTCTTCTGAGCAGTAGAAATGGTGAGGACACATGGACTCTAGTCATTTTGGCATTTCCGTACTTGAAGCATGTCTGTTGAAGCCTACCTCACTTTCTATCGCTTGGATTGAAGTGTTTTCAGCTGAGCCTCTTAGGCTGATGTAATGCCGGACTGGGGATGATAAACTATGCCGTATAAATGTGGGAGTCTACAGATCATCAACATACCATTGTGGTATGAGTGTTGGAGAATTATACGGCCAGTTTGTGAATTCTTCTTGTTCAAACTGACTTGGGCTTATCATTCACACTACTTGTGAAAGTCTCCTTCTCAATCTTACAGTCGGTGTACAAGGTACTCAGAGTTTCCTCATTATCTTCTCACGCTGCTGGTTTTTATAAACCATTGGAGCTATCCTCTGATTATGTGTGGGCCTATAGAAGATTTGGCAACCCCAAGGGTATGCAACAGTCTACCAAGTTCGGAGATAGTAAAACAAGGTAATCCGGTGGACTGAAGGTAGAGTCTTGTTAGTCTATGGGTATGGTAAGGTGCTCCAATACTGCAGACGTCCCATTATCACATGGGCCACTAAAAGTGACGCTTTTCCATATTAGCAGCGCAAGATATTTAACCTAATAGTTTGGTAGTTTGTCAGAGTTTTTTCCTAAGCACACGTTCGCATACCTACAGCGTGGAACTGGATCAGTAGTAAACATATTCTCGGTCATAGTGCAATTGTTCGTCTATGGCTCATTAGTCTATGCATTTTGCTTTCAACGCATCTGAACTCCACTCCATCTATGAAGGTCTGACAGACAACCAACACCATAAGCCTGGACACAGTAAGTGCGGTGGATTACCTAGTCTCCTAGATTGCAAATGGTCACCTAGTTTCTCGATTGGTTTCGTGGAAAAAACTTAACTTCATGTAACCAGATAAGTAGATCACCTATACACGGGTAGTGAGTAATTTTATCGACATACATAGACTGATAGATTCAGCGGTGATACTGAAGCAGAAGTTAGATTACTGTGAGTAAACTTCTGGCAAGATAGACATCAGATGAGCAAATCTACAATATGCCTGATTAATACTGAACCCTTAACAAGTAGTACAATCATTCAACAGTATTTACTGCTTGTTGCATGTTAACTGCACTTCACTCATTCTGTAAGCCTTCAACTCATTGATCAGGGACACTGTTCACCGTGAATGAAGAAAAAATATCACTTCGTTTTCTTGAGAAAATGTAGATTAAC